CTAAAAATTGCAGATATTTACTTAATTTATCAAAGCCCAAAGTTAAAATTTTTATCCTTCTCTGAAATAATTACAGGAACTTAGAAGATTTTAATTCCAAATTCTCCTCATCTTATGTTATGCTATTGTTTTGTGGATTCCAATTGTATTTATTTTGATTACTTAATACATTAACAACATTGTTTAAATTTTCCCCATATTTACTTTCACTGCATTTAATCCTTCTCGCACCTCACATTCCTTCTGAACAAAGTATGTCTTTTAAAATTTCTTTTGCGAGGACTTACTGGTGGTAAACTTTCCCAGCTTTTGTCTGAAAACGTCTTGATTCATTACATTTTTTTTTTTTTTGCAAGATCCACAATCCTAAGCTGATAGTTATTTTTTCTCAACTCAGTGATGCTTCAGCTTCTCTGCTTGCGGGTTCCCACTGACGCTGTTGTGAAGTCAGCTGTAAGTTGGCTGAGTTCTTGAAGATATTAAAGGGTATTTTAATTTTTATGTGCAGTTTAGCTACAATGTGTATAGTGTGGACCTTTTTTTTTTTTTTTTTCCATTTATCCTTGGTATTCACTGGGTTCCTTGACTCTGTGGATTCATGTCTTTCAAGTCTAGAAAATTCTCAGCCATCAATCATCTTCTTCAGTACTGTCTCGCTTCCCTTTCCCTTTCTGAAATTCTAGCTAGATGTATGTTAGGCTTCCCCACTTTATCCCCATGTCTCTTAACTCATTTTCTGTTTTCCATTTCTGTCTCTCTAGGCTGCATTCTAGATAATTTCTTAAATTCAACTTTCCAGTTCGTTAATTCTTTCTCAGCTATGTCTAATGTGCTGTTAAGCCCGCCCATGGAAATTCTAATTTCTATTATGTTCTCTTATTCCTAGAAGTTCTGTTTAACACTCCTCCAAGTTTTCTTGTCTTTACCACATTTCCAGTCCTCTCTTTTATTTCCAAAAATTAACGCGAGGGCTCTAATTTTATATTCTGGGCTTGATAACCCCAGTTTCTGAATTAGGAGTCTGGTCCTCCGCTGTCCTGTTTGTTCTGGCTCTTGCTCATGGTCTTGTTTCCTTTTTTAGTAATCGTTTCTTTTCTGATTGTAAGTCGCTCATTCCCCTTAGTGCTCTAGTTCTGTTATAATTCATTCCTTTCCATTTTCTTTTTTCTGGTATTACTACTAGCTGGATTTTGACCATGCCACCTTGACTGGCTGTGTATCTTCAATCCCTTTCACAGTTTCCATTTGTGTTTCGCTTTATACTCAGAAAAATAAAGTTTTCAACTTTACGTTCAAGGCTTCAGACTTCAGCTATTATCATCCCTCCTATTGATTTTATTTTGTCAATCATATTTTTAATTCTCAAGTGTTCATTTGTTCTGTAATTACCTCTTTTTCATACCAATCTGTTCTCTTTTTATTTAACACAAATAATTTCAAATCTTTATCTAAGGACTGTAATCATACTTGAAACTTTTTTCTTCTTTTCCTTGAATTAGACTTCCTAGATTTCCTTTGGGACTAGTCTTTCTTTTTGGTGCTCACTGGTTATATATTCCTATTTTTAAATAAAAAATTGGTTAACCAAGGTAGTTGGTGTGGCTTTCCTGTATCAGTATACTGATCGATTTTTCTAACACACCTATGCCTCGTAGGGAAGAGCTGATTTATGGCTCTTTGTAAGTGGGCAGGGTACGTTGACGTGAAGGATTCATTCAGGGCTCAAGAGAAGAGAAGCCTCCAGGCAAGCTGCAGGACCACGCCCTTCCTCCACCCACTCCTCTAAGAAAAATGTAAAGCACTGTACTTTAGGTGTGTAGAATTTTTGTTTATTTCCCTCGAGAAATAGTTGACTCTTCTGCCATTACTCGATGTCATCTATTTTTAAGGTCTGGTACTATCTTAGAATCTATTCTGTTTCTCTCTTTGCTATTAGTTCCCAACGAGGAGTGAACTGTTCATTTTTTAATTTTTTTTTTTTTTTTAAGCAACGATTACTGTATTTTTTGTTTTGGGGGGTTTTTGAGAAAACAATCACCCTGAAAGCTCTGGTGGGAATCCGTGAGGATGGGGCTGGAGGGGTCATGGTTGAAGGATGGCCAGGTGTTTCCATCACTGCAAACAATTCGCACTTGTTCTCTCTTGGGGGTCAGTGGAGATGTGGTCTTTCCTGGGGCTCCCGGGGGCTGTTCCCACCACCACTAAAGCTTGTTTCTGTTTGATTCTTCCTTTGCTGTGTGATGACCTTCCCTGTTCAGGAGTATTTTTCAGTAGGGTCTTATTACTTTTGTCTTTCCAGAAACACAACTAAATTTCTGGTTTGCTGATGGTCCTTCTTCCCGGTTTCCGTGCTATTTTGGATTTATTTCCATTTCTACAGCTTCACGGCTATCAGGTGGGGATTCTGAAGGGAGGGGAAGAAGTGCTCAGGTGCAGTCTCTCAACTGAACAGGACGTTCTCATAATTTTTAAAAATGTAGACAAATCATCCATGTTAATATTCAAGTATCTCAAGGCTTAACTAGATTCCATTTTATAATATCAAGTTCAATTGATCAGTAATTCAATGAACGATCTACCTTTTAAAAGATTTGTATTGAAAGTCATTTTCTGTTTATACAATCTTTCCTTTAGTTTCTACAATACAGTCTTTCTCACTTCAAAGAGAATAAAAGCACTGGCCTAAAATAATGAGTGAGTAATCAATCCACACAGATATTCTGTTTCTGGTTTCTCTGCAGTTCAATATTTCTCTATTTCCTACACGTTCACTGGAATCATGATTCCAAACCAAATACAAAAACAGCATGGGAAATGGTGGTGGGGTCAGTTCTCCTAAAGTTTCAAATGTGCTGTAAATTGCAGACAATTCTCAGACTTTTAATAGGAATATTATTTTTGTGTATATGTGCTGGGGTTTTGGAGAAAGATTTATTTAAAAATGAAAAAAGGCCAGGTGTGGTAGCTCACACCTATAATCTCAGCACTTTGGGAGGCCAAGGCAAGAGGACCACTTGAGGCCAGGAGTTCAAGACCAGCCTGTGCAACATAGTGAAAAGCTGTCTCTAAGAAAAATTTTAAAAAGTGGTATGTGCCTGTAGTCCTGGCTACTTAGGAAGCTAAGGTGGGAGGATTGCTTAAGTCCAGGAATTCAAGGTTATAGTGGGCTATAATTGTGCCACTGTACTCTAGCCTGGCAACAGAGCAAGACCTTGTCTCAAGAAAAAGAAATTAAAAAAAAACCCCTTATTCCTAGAAAAGAAAAAACTAATCAAAAACTTTTCCTGGACAATGAAATGCCAGAGGGTTTTATATCACACAGGGATAGTACCACATCATGTCCCATAGAAGAAGGGTCCATTTTTATATAATCTAAATTGCAGTGACTATTACGCATGCCATAAAAATATGCCAGATGCACAAAGAAATCACAGCAGACAGTCCTCGGACAAGAATTCAATCTCACTGTGAAGTGATGGCAGCAGCTTTCCGGGAATCAACATAGTGGGATGAAAAGTTTGTGTCTTTGGGGCAGAGAGCTCTGAATTCAAATTCTAGCTGTCATTTTTTTTTAGCGCAGTGTCTAAGAAATGACTGGTTTTTAGCCTCAGAATCTAATTTTCTTCATGTGTAAAACTGAGATCCTAATGCCTCGCTCATGCAGCTATCGTGACGATTAAGTGAAATACCGTAAGTCAGGGCGCTAGCACAGAACAGACACTCAGCAGGAATTTCTTTTGCTGTTCTGTCTGTCAAAAGTGCCAAGCTGGCAGAAGGTACATGTATTCATCTATGGGATCTTCCATTTACTCTGAACGTTTAAATTCAATGGTGAGACACAGTGAGGAAAGCAAGGACAACTCTTCAAGACATTCTAGTCTGTGGTATGCGATGCTGACGCCTGTATACTACCACATGGACTTAACCAGGATTTCTTCTGATCTCTTTACTTAGAATTAAATTCATCATTTTCTTCAGATTTCATGTCTTTTGGCATTTTGCCTCATCGCTGATGCCTGTGCCCACAGCAAATCCCAACGGTGGGTTGGATAATTAAGAGATATTGCCTCCACACTACTATGCCATCACCCCCTCCACCGGCCTTTCTCTAGCTGTGCATGAAAATTCTGCTGCTTCCCAGTGCATTTGCCAGAACATCTTTTTTTCTCCAGCCCATTTGTCTCACAGACGCCCAGTGGTTGAGTCTCAGTTCCACAGAGAGATCTACAGCTCAGAGGATGTTCAGTCTTCAAATGCAGCTTCGTAATTGGCAAGGGGTGCTCTCAGCTTGCTGGCTGGTCGTGAAACTAACAAAGCCCAGTCTTTGTGAGTGTGCTTTTAGGACACAGGGTCACTTATGCATTTTTAATGCTCAAGACAACGTTAATACCAATTAGTAGTGCCAAAGAAGAGAATTAAAACACGACTTCATGGAATGATAACATCCTCTCTTTGACCAAAAAGCCCATGTGTTTTATTAGCCACCAATTCAATAAGGAAACTGCTTCTTAGATAGTTGAGTCTGTCTATTTCTGGAAGAGGACACAGTACACATACCCAGCTGGTTGTGATTTTTCTTCATGGATTCTAAGGTCATTTATCTGAAGGTCTACTGATTGGTTTTCTTTGCCCACTCATTTTCCTTTAATTCAGACAACCAATTATGTGCCTTTTAAGTTTTTTTCTCCCTCCACATATACTAGGAACAGCCATAATAAAGCACGACATTCCCTTCTCTTGGGATGGCTTTGGAATTCACTGTTTTCTGTTTTGGCCCTCCTTTCCTTGAATATGTGCACTCAAGGTCATCTTGAGTGACCTTTAATGATAAATCTTATCATTCATTCGGGCAGCACTTGAACAAATGGCCCCTTTCCCCAGTTTTTTAGTGCATTTCTTTGAAACCTACCATCCACTGCGTGCTCATCTACCCGCTCCCCCTGCCCTCTGCCCCTGCCCCCTGCTCCCCATATGAAACTCCAGAGTGAAGTCTTTCTTACTTGGATTATTGTGTCCAGAGGATACAAGCTGAGAGTCCTGAAAGAACAAGAAACATCAATTAATTTTCTTATTGTGACTTTCAAAACCCAAGCTAACCACGAGATCATGTTTAAAACCGGTCATTCAGAACTGATTCATCGCCCTCAGTCTCTATCAGCTACTTCAGCGAGAAACATGGACACGAAGGTGGACATGTACATGTTAAGCAGTTCTGGGAATACACTTCACAGTCATTTTTCTTTTGTATCAATGACTTTCTGTTTATTGAGGTGAAGTTCATGTAACATAAAATTAACCATTCTAAAGTGAACAATTCAGTGGCATTTGGTACATTCATAAGGTTGTGCAACCACTACCTCTATCTAGTTACAAAATATTCCCATCACTCTGAAGTAAAATCCGTTACCCATCAAGCAGGGTCTCCCCATATCCCTGCCCCCCAACCCCCCAT